ATGGCATGGCTCCATTGCCCTCAGGTGCCAGTGGGTACGTCCCCTAAACTGCACAAGCCTTGGCGGGGGCCTGTGAGGCTGGTGGACATTCTGAATCCCCAGAGTGTTCGCATCCAGTACGGCCAACGTCGTTGGTATGTCCATTCGTCGCGGCTCAAGCCCTATGTTGACCCGCATGCTGGCCCTTCATCCCCACTTGTTGAACTGCCGGGGTCTGGCGTGCCAAATGTGCCACTTGCCTCGCCGATTGATCCCCAGTGGGGCTGTGTTCTACCCCCCGCAGACGAACAGGTTTTGAAGGACGACGAGACCCCGGACGTTCCACCTCCAACGGGGCCTGTCCCAGACACAACGGAAACCGAAAATTCTTCTTCTTCTCCACAGCAACCACCTCCTGCTGAACAGTCGGCGAGGCAACCACGCGCGAAGAAAGGAGAGGGTCCGGCGTCGCGTACGCGGTCGAAGTCTCTCCCATTTCGCTAATACTGTTTTCCTTGCGGTCTGTCACCCTGGTGTTACTGCGCTACAGGGGCGCCCTAATGTATGTCTGTTGTTTTAATGTTTTAATTTCTCTGCGCGTTAACGCGTACTCTCCCTTACTTTGTTAATGCATCATGGACGCCCTAAGATGTTATTCAAAGGGATTTGGGCTGTCACTCTTTTTCCAGCCGAGACGGCTGACTTTTTACACCGGTGGGGGGGGGGGGTGATGTAATGTGAGGATATATCCGGGTTGCTGACGGATCACAACTCGTTACGATGATTGGCTCTGCCGGTCCTGGCCCATAGCCAATGGGGGGAAGTCTAGGGGCGTGGCCCTGACATAATGGGAAGGTGACATCTGTAAGTAGAGGATTGGTTCTGGGGCCTGGTCCCGGGAGCATACGATGGAGTCTAGAAGATTCCATAGAGGTTAACCAGGATTGGTGGAAAGGTACCACATGACCCGGGTATTAAATAGGGGTGAAGACGAACAACACGTGGTCAGATCTGGAACGAACGGAGGGTGAGGCCAAGCGGGAGCGGGGTCCAGGCTGCCACGTGGCCGCGCGTGTCTCTCTCTCTCTCTATCCCTCTCACGCTGTCTGTCATCAGCGTGAAGGAGTAAAAGAAAGACAAATAAAGACCGGATTCCAGAAGTCGCTTCCACGACCTTTATTACAATTGGAAGGACGTTATTAACCAGGTAAAGTCTTAACTGACTGATGTTTCCATCCTACCTGCCTATGTCAGCTGCTATTTCCGACTCTCTGTGTGTCTCTCTCAATGCCTCTCTCTTAAATCTCTCATGCTCACATGTCCTTTGCATTGGACCCTTTGGGTTGCACTCATGCCTTTGGATTGCACCACTCTTCGATTTTACATTAACATGCTAATCTCTCACATTAACATAGCCACTTCCGTACCTTCGTCGAGGAGGGCGCTCTCCGATCTTACAGTTACATGATAATTTCTCACATTAACATCACTAGCCCCGGCCACTTCTTTATGACTCTTCAGCTACACCCATTTCAAACCTTTTAAAACAGTCTGCCTTAGCAGCAGACCATGCTTTCCCACCTGATGATGGATGCTTGTGTTGCGCCCGAAACGTCGTGATATATTTTATACCTACGTGACTTTACCAAAAGAACCAAAGAGTATAGATTCCAGCAGTCACGAAAGCTTCAAATCACTATGAAGCTCACTCACACCACTGTGCACACCAACCCCGCTCTGCTTACTCACCCCGCTGTGCACACTCACCCCCGTCTACTAACTCACCCCGCTCTGCTCACTCACCCCACTGTGCACACTCACCCCGCTCTACTCACTCACCCCGCTCTACTCACTCACCCCGCTCTACTCACTCACCCCGCTGTAAACACTCACCCCCCTCTACTCACTCACCCCCTCTACTCACTCACACTGCTCTACTCACTCACCCCCCTCTACTCACTCACCCCGCTGTGCACACTCACCCCGCTGTGCACACTCACCCCCCTCTACTCACTCAACCCGATCTACTCACTCACCCCCCTCTACTCACTCACCCCCCTCTACTCACTCACACTGCTCTACTCACTCACCCCCCTCTACTCACTCACACTGCTCTACTAACTCACCCCCCTCTACTCACTCACCCCGCTGTGCACACTCACCCCACTGTGCACACTCACCCCGCTCTGCTCACTCACCCCGCTCTACTCACTCACCTCGCTCTACTCACTCACCCCGCTCTGCTCACTCACACCGCTCAGCTCACTCACCCCGCTCTGCTCACTCACTCTGCTCTACTCACCCCGCTCTACTCACTCACCCCGCTCTGCTCACTCACTCTGCTCTACTCACCCCGCTCTACTCACTCACCCCGCTCTACTCACTCACCCCGCTCTGCTCGCTCAAACTGCTGTGCACACTCACACCGCTCTGCTCACTCACCCCCCTCGACTCGCTCACCCCGCTGTGTACACTCACCCCGCTGTGTACACTCACCCCGCTCTGCTCACTCACACCGCTCAGCTCACTCACCCCGCTCAGCTCACTCACCCCGCTCAGCTCACTCACCCCGCTCAGCTCACTCACCCCGCTCTGCTCACTCACCCCGCTCTACTCATTCACCCCGCTCTACTCACTCACCCCGCTCTACTCACTCACCCCGCTCTACTCACTCACCCCGCTCTACTCACTCACCCCGCTCTGCTCACTCACCCCGCTCTGCTCACTCACCCCGCTCTGCTCACTCACCCCGCTCTCTGCTCACTCACCCCACTCTGCTCACTCACACCGCTCAGCTCACTCACCCCGCTCTGCTCACTCACCCCGCTCTGCTCACTCACCCCGCTCTGCTCACTCACCCCGCTCTGCTCACTCACCCCGCTCTGCTCACTCACCCCGCTCTGCTCACTCACCCCGCTCTGCTCACTCACCCCGCTCTGCTCACTCACCCCGCTCTGCTCACTCACCCCACTCTGCTCACTCACCCCGCTCTGCTCACTCACCCCGCTCTGCTCACTCACACCGCTCAACTCACCCCGCTCAACTCACTCATCCCACTCTGCACACTCACCCCGCTCTGCTCACTCACACCGCTCAACTCACCCCGCTCAACTCACTCATCCCACTCTGCACACTCACCCCGCTCTGCTCACTCACACCGCTCAACTCACCCCGCTCTACTCACTCACCCCGCTCTACTCACTCACCCCGCTCTACTCACTCACCCCGCTCTACTCACTCACCCTGCTCTGCTCACTCACCCCGCTGTGCACACTCACCCCGCTCTACTAACTCACCCCGCTGTGCACACTCACCCCGCTCTGCTCACTCACCCCGCTCTACTCATTCACCCCGCTCTACTCACTCACCCCGCTCTACTCACTCACCCCGCTCTGCTCACTCACCCCGCTCTGCTCACTCACCCCGCTCTGCTCACTCACCCCGCTCTGCTCACTCACCCCGCTCTGCTCACTCACCCCGCTCTGCTCACTCACCCCGCTCTGCTCACTCACCCCCTCTGCTCACTCACCCCGCTCTGCTCACTCACCCCGCTCTGCTCACTCACCCCGCTCTGCTCACTCACCCCGCTCTGCTCACTCACCCCGCTCTGCTCACTCACACCGCTCTGCTCACTCACACCGCTCAGCTCACTCACCCCGCTCAACTCACTCACCCCGCTCTACACACTCACCCCGCTCTGCTCACTCACCCCGCTCTACACACTCACCCCGCTCTGCTCACTCACCCCGCTCTGCTCACTCACCCAGCTCTGCTCACTCACCCCGCTCTGCTCACTCACCCCGCTCTGCTCACTCACCCCGCTCTGCTCACTCACCCCGCTCTGCTCACTCACCCCGCTCTGCTCACTCACCCCGCTCTGCTCACTCACCCCGCTTTGCTCACTCACCCCGCTCAACTCACTCATCCCACTCTGCACACTCACCCCGCTCTGCTCACTCACACCGCTCAACTCACCCCGCTCTACTCACTCACCCCGCTCTACTCACTCACCCCGCTCTACTCACTCACCCCGCTCTACTCACTCACCCCGCTCTACTCACTCCGCTCTGCTCACTCACTCTGCTCTACTCACACCGCTCTACTCACTCACCCCGCTCTACTCACTCACCCCGCTCTACTCACTCACCCCGCTCTGCTCACTCACCCTGCTGTGCACACTCACCCCGCTCTACTAACTCACCCCGCTGTGCACACTCACCCCGCTCTGCTCACTCACCCCGCTCTGCTCACTCACTCCGCTCTACTCACTCACCCCGCTCTACTCACTCACACCACTCAACTCACTCATCCAACTCTACTCACTCACCCCGCTCTGCTCACTCACACCGCTCTGCTCACTCACACCGCTCTACTCACTCACCCCGCTCTACTCACCCCGCTGTACTAACTCACCCCGCTCTACTAACTCACCCCGCTCTACTCACTCACCCCGCTCTACTCACTCACCCCGCTCTACTCACTCACCCCGCTCTACTCACTCACCCCGCTCTACTCACCCACACCGCTCTACTCACTCACCCCACTCTACTCACTCACCCCGCTCTACTCACTCACCCCGCTGTGCACACTCAACCCGCAGTGCACACTCACCCCGCTCTGCTCACTCACACTGCTCAACTCATTTACCCCGCTCTACTCACTCCGCTCTACTCACTCACACTGCTCTACTCACTCACCCCGCTCTGCTCACTCACCCCGCTGTGCACACTCACCCCGCTCTACGAACTCACCCCGCTGTGCACACTCACCCCGCTGTGCACACTCACCCCGCTGTGCACACTCACCCCGCTCTGCTCACTCACCCCGCTCTGCTCACTCACCCCGCTCTGCTCACTCACACCGCTCTACTCACCCACACCGCTCTACTCACTCACCCCGCTCAACTCACTCACCCCGCTCTGCTCACTCACACTGCTGTGCACACTCAGACCGCTCTACTGCCCCCGCTCTACTCACTCACACGCACCCCGCCATGCTCACCCCCTCCCCCCTCTCTTCACCTCCGATCACGGCGCCCGTGAAAATCAGCTTCCTGCGGTGCCGCTTGAAGAATCCACCGAGTGCGGCCAACATAGCTCACGAGTCCCGGGACCTCCTCCGCTGCCCCACCGGCTCACTCGGCAGTCCACACGGGATCGGCAGCGCAGCGCTCACGATCACGCCACTCGCTCAAGGCGCCGTGCCGGCAGACATGTTGCTCAGGGAGAGCGGCTCTGCGCATGCGCCAACCACCCCTACCCAACATGGCGACCATCGCGCCCCGCGCGCGAGTTCCGGCCGCTGCTGCCTGCCAGCTCCCCGTGCGAGCGCCGCGTCCCGCGTGCAGCTTCATCAGTCCCAGGGCACCGTCGTAAGCGTCGCAGCTGCGACTACTCTGCGTTGCCAGGACAAGCAGCCGGTTCCATGAGATCCCACGACTGTCACGGCGGTTTGTGGGGGCCCTGGGGCACCGCAGCGCTACCCCCGTAGACGGGGGGGGGGGCGGGTCCTTTCAGGAGGAAGAATCCCGAGCTGCTGTGCGGCGGCGAGGAGACTTTGTGGATCGTTCTGTTACACTCCTGCGTGTGATGGCAGCAACAGCAGCAAAATGTTCTTCCAGAGCTGCTCAATGCCAGTGTGGAGGTCTGCTAGCCACTGAGATTGGGCTTCAGAAGACAGTTGTCGTTTTGCTATTCCTCTGTTGAAAGAGCGTAGAAAACAGTGGTTTCACTACAGTCTATAGCTCTACGAGTCTTGAGTCTCTGGGTTTACTATAGTTTGGCTTGCATGGCGACAATCTCACTGTGAATGAGATGTTGCGCATCCGCTTCTCGGTGTTCTGATTTGCGTTGATGGTTGCGCCAGTGTAGGAGTAGTCAAAGTCAGGAGGTGCGATGTTTGGGACTCACCATTGAGGTGCTTATTTTGGATGTTACAGATAGGGATGAGATTGGGACTTGGTTGTGCGCAAATGGTGTCATTGTCGAGGTATTATTTGACCAGTGGGTGTAAACTCGTGTAAACTGCGTTGCAGTTTGCATGTCTGCGGTCTCAAGTGTTCCGCCTACAATGCGCGTTGTGTTATTTAATATTCAGATTCTTTGAGTCTTTCGGTAAAGTCCCGTAGATGGTTCAAAGTTTGCATCTGTCAGTTTAATGTACGAGCAGCCTGCGGACCAGGCTGGAGCATAGCGACTGCCACTGAGCAGTAGATCACAGCACATCGACAACGAGTGGAGCGCCGGAAGGCGAAAGCACAGCAAGTTGGTGCATCTGCCGTTCATCTCACTCGACCCATGGCACTTGGGTCTATCCCGTAACCTCCTGTGGCCTTAACGCGCACTTAGCCTGGCACAAGCGCCGTGGTGACGTCACCGCAGCACATCACCGAAGGCGCCCCAGGTGGTTGATTACCGCACGTTTCTGTAGCAGAGGTGAGTCCGCTATCAATGATAACTCCCTAGAGTGGGGTCATAGCGAACTGGGCCACCACAAAAGGACATTGCTTCAAGGAACATCAGATCAGTTGTTAGCGCATTGGCAATGTGCTCAAAGTGCGTGCCCTCGGCAGTAACGGCTGTGTAATTTGCATATATATGAACCTAAAGGATTACGTACATGGTAAGTCACTTGTGTTATGTGTTAAGTAGTGACGGTGCTAGCACCGAGCATTGAGAGAGGTGGCTATTCATGATTCTCTGGCGGCTGTTAGCTATCACTTAGCATCGACCTCTCTTCCTCATTCAGCCGGATGAGAAGCAGCAGCATAAATGTACTGTGAGTGGTGGCTGCGATGTTAGAACACCATAGACCAGGAGTCGGCAACCTGCGGCTCTGAAGCCGCATGCAACTCTTGAAGGACCGCTTAGTGATGTTATTGATGAAGTACCCATCGTTTCGTATTCACTACATGCATTGCAGCTATTCAAATAATGAGTTGTCTATCCCCTGTAGTAGACCATGAACCACCCTAATGTGATACATTCAGAGGCCGGTTAACTTGCTGCCATAATGACTATCGTCACACTTACTGGGGTAATACCGACCTGGTAGAAAATCTGAATTGGTTGTTCTATGGATAGACTGGCCCCTTAGGGTGCCCACTATATGCATATGGAAAAGTGAAGTTTCAGTTTTCTGCGATCTCTACTCGTTATTCTTGGTGTAAAAAGTCAACAGCTGAGAAAGTTCTTGCACTGTGTCAATAATTTACAAGTTGCTCAGGATTCCTCCTATGCGTCTTTGCCATGGCTGTGTGTGTTGACTGTCGTGCGTTTTTCAACTTCGTTGGCGCAACTTGTCGGTGTAACAGGCAAGCTAATGAAGCAGCAGGAGGGGTTACCTTCAAAACAATAACCTTGAACTTTGAGAGGCACCCCGTACTGGCCTCCTGCCAGGACCAGAATCAGAGACGAGCACCTCCATGTGATGATGTATGTTGATGTGCACTCTACGTGTAGGATGTGTGATTATGTGCGATTATGTGCACGGTGTCCCAAAAGTCAAGACAAGATTATTGACTTAATTTTAACGCTGTCATTGAATTTTTTTATTGTTTATGCTTAAAGTTTGTTTTGTTTTTATCTATTAATAATCTTAGTTTTTTTTGTAAAGTAACGTAGATAGAAGAAGAAAAATAATAAGAAAGTGAATGAAAATAAAATAATAATATCGATTTCTTGACTTAAAGCTTTCGTGACTGCAGGAATTCATATTCTTTGGGTCTTTCGGTAAAGCCACGTAGATAGAACAATAATAAAAATCATCACGACGTTTCGATCGCAACACAAGCAATCGTCATCAGGTGAAACAAAAATTATAGCGGGAGAGCTGCTGAAGCAGGATGCTATATAGTTTTGAGATGGGTTTAGCCCAAGGGTAAGTGGGTGGGGCTAGAGATGGCTCCAGTTCACTACTAGGTGTTGATGGTCAGAAATACAATGAGCTCTATGGTGTAGAGTTTTGATGAGGGAATTCTTCTGGGATGGATGGTGGTGGGAGTCAGGTTTTAGGTAGGTATCCGTATGGGTGGCTTTCCTGTAGACAGTGTCCCATTGAGCCATCTAGTCTCTTTTTTATTAAAACAACCAAGAATGGTAACTCGCCATCCCTTTCCACCTCCATGGTGAATTCATTGGCTGGGTGTATGGAATTGATGTGGTTGAAGAATTGGCCCAGCGCTGGTAGGCCATGTGTAATCTAAAAAAATAAGTGCTAAATTAATTTCAAAAGAAAATGCATATATTAATGTTCATGAAAGTCAGTCTGAACATTTCACAGTCAGGTGGTGAACTTACAGCTCTTGCTCTGAACGTATATTAGCCATACGAAGGAGGAAGAGGTTTGGACATTTGTTAAATAAATGAAATAACCTTGTGATTTGGTAAAATAACTAAAATTACCCTATGCGATTTACAAATAAATATAATAACTTTGTGTCCTGACTTTTGGGCCACGCTGTATTTATAATGTGAGTATTTATAATATAATCACACTAGTTTGGGAATTGTGTGTTGCTATCCTTGACTTTAGGGAACATCTGCATTCGAGGGCAGCACTGAGCCACCCAGAGATCGCTGAGCCATGAATCCTGCAGAGCCTGGCTCGGAGACTGACAAGTGGATGCAGCAAGCGTTTAACATGGTACTCCTCTGCTGTTCAGGCCACTAGCATGCGGCAGCCACCACCACCAGCACACGTCCACTCGATTCCTCAGCACTGTTCATCATCTCAAATTGCATTGAGAACATGAATAGAGGGATAAGCTGGTTAGCAAATCCGAGCCAGTCATCCCTGCTTTTTAGTACACATTGGATGTTAATAACTTTTAAACAATGTGATACAAACATCCTTGCTAATCTTTTCCACAAAATATACTGTCCAGAGTATAGTCCATCAACAATGCAACAATTAAAACGTTTTAGTAACAGGACCCTGCGGGGTGGGCTGGTAGGAACGAATAACCAAAGAATATAAACATAATGTATTATTACACTTGTTAGCCAGGAAAGCCCCACTGAGTCTAAAGGTTTTGTAGGGTCCTGCCAAGTGTTTGCAGTAGGGGGCGATGTTGCTACACCTAATCGGATGATACGAAGGGAGAGTTTGAGGCCTAGTTCTAGGCTTTAGGCCTAGCTGTAGGCTTTAGGCCGCTGTGAGTTAATTTTTTATTTAAATGTTTTAATTATTAATGTAAAAGCTTTAAATGTAAATGTTTCTATTTAAAAACATCAGGGAATGTAACATTGTTAAACATTAACTCATTTTCACACACGCGGGGGTACGATACGAAGGGAGAGTTTGAGGCCTAGTTCTAGGCTTTAGGCCTAGCTGTAGGCTTTAGGCCGCTGTGAGTTAATTTTTAATTTAAATGTTTTAATAAAAAGCTATCTCAGGGAATTATAAGGGAATGTTACACTTGTTTAGCCAGGAAAAATGTTTTAATTAAAAGCTATCTCAGGGAATTAAAAAATGTTTTAATTAAAAGCTATCTCAGGGAATTATAAGGGAATATTACACTTGTTTAGCCAGGAAAGCGTCACTGAGTCTAAAGGTTTTTGTAGGGTCCTGCCAAGTGTTTGCAGTAGGGGGCGATGTTGCTACACCTAATCGGACGGACGGACGGACGATATAATCTATTGTAGGCTGGTTCACTTCGTTCCTACCAGTAAAAAATAAAATTGTCATTATCTCTTATCGTGGAGCCTGACTGAAACAGGAGACTGACATGACTTGTGTATGCATTAATTTATAATGGTCACCAACAATGCACAGTGTGATGTAGCACAGAGAGACATAGATTTCTCGGTTGAGTTAGTGGTTTTTGTGAAATAGGTTTGAAACTTGCAGAATACCACACTGCAGTGTTTCCCAACCTGTGGTCTGTTTAACCTCTGGTGGTAAGCATCGCTGTGGCAAGTGGTCTGCGGAACTGTTGCAGATTATATGAATTAGAGCCGTTTTACATTTAAAAAAATAGTATTGGTGCATGGTGGCATGGGAGGGATGTTTGAGGGTTGACAGTGGCCCACGTGACCTATAGAGATTGGGAACCACTGGCTTACCATTTAGCTGTAACGCGCAACAACAATAATGCAGAGCTAGAATGTGTGAAGCTGTTTTGGACGAGACTGTCTAACATAACTGTTCCGACATCACATAGTGTGGTATTTTCACTAAAAAGCCTCACACTTGCCCTAGGCAGCCCACAATTTTGGTCAAATGTTTTACTGTCAGGCAGCTAAGATTGAAAATTTGGCAAAATAGGGAAGAGCTTGAGATGTACTGTAATCTTTACCAGAAGTATTTTATTGAACAGAAACAAAAACGGGAAGGTACAGCATGCAATCAGAGGGGGTTATGTGGGGGGATGTGAGGCGTAAAGCATATAACGGAGTTAGGGACCCACACAGAGGGTGAACGTTATAAGTGGACAAGTCTTAGTGGAGGGGGAGATGCTTTAAGGAGTGTTGTGGGAGAGGCAAATGAGGGTGTGAGAGTGTGGTGTGTGTTGCGGAGGTTGGGTGACTCACAGGGGGAGGATCGGGGATGAGGGGGGGGAGCAGCCCTTAGACCATTCGTCCTCTAACTGTACTGGAGGCTGCAATCTTTAAGCAAGCATGTAGGACTATGGGAACAACTGTCTGCTTAAGAAGCTACATGAGACTTGGTCCTGTGTAGGATTATAAGGAAACCCATTAGCGTAGCTGGAGATGAAGTACGGTGCCATGGATGGCCATATTGGTTGGCCATCCATGACACTATGAACCCAGCTACCTAAGTTGGATTCCCGCTCACACCCAACATCGCTGATGATTATCTAGACGGTTCCTGGACCTTCCTGAGGTCAGCTCGGCCTTAAATCGGTACCATGTGTGGTATGTACACATCAGCACTGGGGAGACAAAGGGTTAGGGTGTGGTGCTGTCCACTATCCCCCTCATATGCCTGTCAGCTTTAATAAGGGCTCACTAACAGCAATTACTCCAACAGTCTGGAGTAATTGTGGGGGTTATGTGTGTGTGCAGGCACAAACGGCCCTGGCGCGGGGGGAGGTGCCAGTCGGCTGCCTCGTGGTGTACGCGGGACGTGTCATAGGGCGCGGGCGCAACCAAGTCAACGAAACAAAAAACGTGAGCTTGGCGGGACGACGTGCGGACACGCGGCTGGCACGCATTCCCTTTCGTATGTACGTTGAACTTATTTCGCACCATATGGAAATGTGACCCATGATGCTCTCGCCCAGGTCACATTTCCATATGTGCATGTGCACATTCCTTTGGTCAGTATACTGCTGGATGAGAGGGCCTTCTCGTGTCTGCACAGGTCATGAGGGTTATTCGACCATACTTTACCATTATGATCAGTGCAGATGTGTGCCCCCGGTTTCTTGCAAATGAGACTCTCCTGTTCTGGTGTGTTCTCACCTATGAAAACTGATTATAGGTGCAATGCAAGTTGTTTCTTTAAACGTTCGTTTGGAGTGATTCAGGCTTCAAATTGGAGCAGTTACGCAGTGGGCCAGCGGTAGCGCCTTCGCCGTTTGTTTAAAAATCAGCAGCCACCCTCATTATTATCGTGGTGTGTGATAGCGGAAATAATACCGTGCACTCTCTGCTTCACAGTAGTCGCTAATGAGCCTCTGGATGTAATTCGCAAGAGTTGGCCACTGTGCTGGCGTCTGGATCCGCATTCTCCAAATTGGAAAATTACGCCGCAAATTACTCGATTGGAATTCTACGCAGCAATTGTCGCCCCCCCCCCCCCCCCTTACTCGCAGACCATTCATCAAAATAACCATGAACTACGACGGTATATGAGGCAGACTTTCGTCATGAGCCATGATTGATCTACTCCTGGATGAAGGTTCCTCAAGCCATCGCCATCAGTCATGGTCTTTCAATCCAACATTCCATCCAGCTCACACACACAAGATGATTAAATCACTGCCATCTCTTCTTTGGCTGCCACTCCATTATTTTACTTGACCAATGGCCAGCAGAATCTCTTCGCGCAACTTGTCCTGAAAAATCCCACTTAGATCTTAGCAGTCAATATGATGTCCATACCTTGCGTACGTTCTCTAATCCACACGTCCCTCTTTCTGTTATCTGTGTACAGACTGCACAAAAGCAATACAGATACAATCGAGACAAAAAAACATTGGATCCTTGAATTTAAATTGTGGGGTGGAGGTGTGGATGGTTACGTGATCCGTGGTGACTCTACCCCCCCCCAACCCTGCTGCCAGGCGACGCGTCACGCCGAGCTGGTGGCACTGGACGAGGCGCTGGAGTGGTGCCGTGCCCAGGGCCTCGCCCCGGCTGGCGTGCTGCAGGCCTGCAGCCTCTACGTGACCGTGGAGCCTTGCGTGATGTGCGCCGCCTCCCTGCGGCTCCTGCGTATCCACCGTCGCCCGGCCGAGCGCCACCTCTGCTTTCCGTCGCCTCGCTCTGACTTTGGCTATCACAGCTCTGTCCGAAATGCTCGACCACTCGATCGCCACGCCATTGGGTTTAGTTGGCGTGGTCACGCCACCTCCCAGCCGCCGCTATAAGAGGTGAGGCCTCCACAATGTTATGGGCAGCTCCCCAGTCACGTGTAGTTGGGGCAGTGTGCAAACCAACACGGTGTCAAATGAGCATGCCAAATTCATCAGTCTATTAAGCCTGATTAAAGACAGTCTGGGGAAGATGAGGATCGCAAGGGTGGCCATTTCAAAATCGTATATTATATTAACAATTATATATTTATGTATTTTGTGTATTGTCCATGCCTCCGTATATAAAAAAATGTTTTGAGTCCCATCGGCCTATTGGCTTTTCAATAGGCCGATGCAGATATTTTTTTATACTTCTTCCTTCCTGTAAGGCTGTTCCAGCAGTAAGCGCACCGTAGGGTGCCTCATGGTCTCTCGCCTTGCACAATGTGAACACGTGGAGTGGAACACAGCTGCGCAGGCTCCTTGACCGCAAACCCCAGGATTGCCCCGCGTGGTCTGCGGCTGCCGGAACGAGCGCTTTGGGGGCTGCGGCTCCGTCATGAGCGTTCACTCAGCAGAGCTGCCCCACACAGGCTCAACGTTCCAGGTGTGAGCCAGGGAGGGTGTGCATCTGAAGCCCTGAGAAAAGGGCATTTGAACGGTGAAATGCGGAGGTGGAATGATACCATCACGTTGCCCTCGTCGTCACATAACAGAGGCATGCTTCTTCAGTGTCCGTGTTCGCGACCATTGGGGAACATCTGCCCTTGCTGCCTCAATGTGTCACTGCCTCCAGGATCTGTTCTATTCTGTGCTTCTTCCCTGATCTGTCTACTCCTCTTGCGCCATTCTGTGATATCGCTTTCAATCGATCAAAGTGTATTGGTCGCATAAACAGTTAAGCTGATGTTATAGTGGGTGCAGTGAAAAACTTAAGTTGTCAGCTTCACAACATTGCAATAGAATGTCTAACAAATAAACAACAAAAATTTGATTATTATTTTTCATCACGAAATTATCAAACAAATCCAAATTCCAAACCAAATAACACTATACAATAATCAAAATAACAATCTGCATATATGCTTGGGATGAATGAACACAAAGATAAACTATGAATTATATGTACAACAATATATATTCGCGTGAGCTCTGTCGAGTACACGGTATATGAATATGCAGTGTATCTCAACAGCTGATGTGCTGTTTTGCCACGGCCTCTGAAGCCTGTTGCTTGCAGCACCGTGCGCGTTGGCGTGGTTACATGTCTATAACATAAGATCTTTTGTCTCTTTATTATGGAGTAATTCGATATGCATTGTGGTGTATTTAGTAGCATATTAAATGCATGTGGTGTGATCAACGGCAACTCGTGGCCCAAGTTTGAGACTGCAACAAGCTTCACTTGGCCTTTTCAATTGTTTTAGGTGATGCCTGTTTGTGGCTTAATGGATGAATGGAATGTAAGGGCAGCACGACACAATTTGCCAACGCTGGGACACCCAACAGACCTGTTCTGCTAAGAGGCTGCACAGGCGCATGGTATGATCTAATGGAGCTGGTGTTGCCGCTGCCATCAATACATTTTCCTCTCCACGTGTTACCTGAGATTGGAAAATCCAGGGTGGACGGTGTCGTTTCCTCAGAGTGGAGTCATGAGCGCCTCCTGGGCATGGTTCAAATTGCATAAGTACACTAATTCCCAAGCTTGAGCAAGGCAGCAAAACGACAGTAAAACAGTCCCAGGCAACACAGTCCCTCAATAAAATTCCACATAAAAATTTAACTTTTGATAAATGGATAAGGATAAAAGTTATAAATCACATTTGCAAATGCAATTGTATCCAGCACTAATCATCTGCTTCAGTATATATTTTTAAGGAAGAGTTATGATGTGTGCTTTGTAAATGTTGTCATGTCCCATATGTGATGTGCAATACATTTTAAATATTGATATTTAAAATGCAGGAAAATATTAAGTGGCCCATGTGGTGTCAGAGGGCTGAGCTAGCACCACTCAGATCCTGGGTTCAAATCCAGGCAGCTGCCCTCCCGTTAAACCAGGCTATCAAGTGCAGTGTGTTGCTGGTCACAGTAGGGTCACCAGTGACTGCACAGAAAACCCATTCATTTGAAATAGTTTTTTTCACTTTTGGTTTTCTTCCATTTCTGAAAACAAAGCAGTCAGTTTCATTCACATGACACGATCACTTATTTTCAGGCTTCTCACCAAGCATGTGTCAGTGCTCCTCGTGGATACGAGGCCAGGTGAAGTGACTTTTCAAAAGTATATCCTCGACATCACTTTTTGGGATGGGTGTCAGTTTTCTGGGGCCTGACATAGGGGTGGTGCCTTGCACGCTGTGAGAGTTCAAAAGAAAAAATGTATCTTGTCTCATGATAACTCAATAGCATGATTATAATATAATTGGGGACAATAATACTAATAATAACATGAAGCACTGTAGCAACAGGCAATTTGCAACTAAGCGAGTTGGTGTGTAATGTGTGTGTGATGCAGTGTGTGTCAGGGGTGCGTTCCCAGGAGGCAGTGGACATGCTGAAAACCTTCTACAAAGGACAAAACCCCAATGGTCAGTGCTTCCACTACGCCAACCTTACACCTGCATTTCAAGCTGCTCTTACTAGTTTAACACGTAGGTTTTTGTGACCAATTTTATCCATAATACAGGTTTTTTTTGGTTAGATTGCGTAAATATATAAATGTGTTGTTAAACCCGCCACCACCCGACAGCCAATTAGTAAGGTTATTCACGTAAACGGAACATTCCAATTCGTTACTAGTGTAGAGGTGTTACGGGAGGGCGAACAAACACACCAGGGGTGGTTATGCCCGCACGCGGAAGGATGCTTACATCCACGTCCGCATCGTTTAGCCTGGGGGGCTGAAACGGCGCTGTGATCCCCCACGGCCCCACCCCTCGAGGGGGGAGTTGCTATATAAGGCGGTGAGCCGGTGGGCTCGGGGTTCAGTGTTTAGCTTAAACCAGTGAAGAAGGAAGACCGGCTAGATAGGCCCTGGGACTCCCCTGGATCGCTGTCCTTCTAAGGACCGACCAGGGCAAGCCAGTGGTGTGGCCCCGAGAGCCCAGAGCCGATGCTCTTGTAAGAGCCGGTCTGGGGACTCAGGGTGCCGTGATACCAGCTTGGCCAGAGCGGGATCAGCTAGCCTCCCCTAGCTCTGTAGTGGAGGACCTGGGAGTAGGCTAGCCGGGATAGAGATCGTGGGATCTCCCTGTTAGACGGGTGAAGGGGCCGATACCCCTTCGAGTGTTGTATACCTTGGCCTGTATAGAGTGGAACATTTAATAAATAAGTGTGCCTCCGACTACGTCGTCCAAGTCTCGTTGAACCTACTACACTAGTACAGCACACCGGTGTGTTGGAGTGTTTAAATATTATAAACTATGTTTTATATGGTCAAAAAGGTCGACTTACAATTGTCTTGGAACAAATTAAGCACTTTAACATGTATTTCCTATATTTGATTAGCGATCATTTCACTTAGCGATGTTTTTTGTGGAACCAATTAATATAATTAACTGAGGGACCCATTGCATTTCCATTTTTCACAAATAATTACCACAGCTTCATGTTCAGCAGCATTGGTCGGCCGTTGTAAGTTACAATCTGTGAGTACGGCGATTCGTGGGTTTCTCATGAAACCGTGATGACGTGTCACGCCATGTGTTCCACATACTGCTGCGCCGTAGCGTGACGTCATCGAGATGTTGATGCTCACTTCCACAAGCCCCGGTGTCACTTGCTCAGGCGGCGTTGCTTCTGTGAGGATTGCGCTGTTCATCCCCATGTAACGTGGCGTGATCTCTCTGTCGTTGTTGCAGCTCCAAATCCAAAGATCAAGAAGGGCAACCAGCATCCCAGTGACATCGCCTCCTCTCCTTCGCTCTCGGCACTGTGATGGTTCTACAGATGGTGGTCATTTCATGTTCATGGCTCATTCGGCTAAAGACCAAAGGGTTTACAACAATCTATGGTATGGCCATCATTTAACGAGTGGTGGTGGCAACAGCATATGCCTGTAGTCCAGCACTGTGGAGGCTAGGGTTGGTAGATCACACAAATATTGCGAAATTCCCTTCCCGTGGGTGTCAAACTGCAATATTCTGAGTTTAGGGTGCCAAGCTGAGGATATAGTAACTACTTCGCCTGGTATAAAGGAGGTTGTGGGTTCGATCCCACCTGTTTTATATTTAGATTTTGCTCATTCTCCCTGTGGTCATGTGGATTTTTCTCCAGGTCCTCCTGTTTTTCTCTCCACGTTTGGAAACATATGGCTGCTATACATTTCCACATGATAAGCCACTTCATTGAGCTATCACCTGTGACCAGGTCACTTCTGAAAAAGATCTCTGCCTTCGAGAGTGAGTGAATACTGTGCGGCATATTATACGTTGAAATTATTATCTGAGCTGTGATGCTCAACCACAAGTATCCCACTGCAGTAATTCACAATTATGTGACCGTTTGTGAAATTGATACTCTTCCATCTACTTTTGTGCAGAAAAAAATCCTAATTTATCATATGTAAATTTAACACTTCGGGTTCCGTGACTAATATCCATAATAAAGGTTTTTTGGGTTAAATCGCTTTCATATAAATGTGTCGTTAAACCACCACCACCTGACAGCCAACTAGTAAGGTTTAGTAAGGTTTAGTAAGGTTTGTCCCGTAGACAAAACATGCCAGTTTTTTTCTTGTTGTGGTTGTCCCACCTGATGACGATTGCTTGTGTTGCGATCGAAACTTCGTGATCTGTTATTTTTCTACCTACGTGACTTTACCAAAATAACCAAAGAGTATGGATTCCTGCAGTTACGAAAGCTTCAAATCAAGCTTAAAACATGCCAATTAGTTACTTCAGCACCGAAGTTATATGACTACATTAACCCCCCTCTCGTTTTCGCGCCTCATCGGCTCACAATGATGACACCACCTTTATTTAAGACCGAAACAGGAAGACTTCACAATTCTGGTAAATCGCCTGATGAGGCTGGTTATAATCACCAGCGAAACGTCGTACTCAAATTGTAAGTGGTTGTGGGTTTACTCTTAAACACACCGGTGTCTTGAAGAAGTAACTAATTAGCACGTTTTGTTGTCATGACAAACTTTACGAGTTGGCTGTGTCGCGTAGTGGTGGTTTAACACATTTACACGATCTAAACCAAAAAACCTTTATGTCTCTGCCAATTTGGTAAACTTGTATAACATTTGTAGAAGTTAAAATTGTTAAGTTGTACATACAACCCTTTTACAATAAACTCTCAGAAACGCAGATAAGGGGTATACTCATTGTGGTTTATTTTCTGATGAAAGCCCACGTGACAAGCCACAGCACGGGTTCGAGAGTCGCTTGGCTGGCGCATGGCAAAGCCGTGTTTGGGCATCTCCTGTGACGCGCGCTATCTGCCAGTAGGTGTGGCAATGGTACACGGCACAACTAACTGGTGGTTATTGTACAGTCTCTTGACGTTTAACATGAATTTTTAAATTCAGCTTTGAAGTGAATTGCCTCCTTAAAATCACACGTTTTTGGTTAGTTTTAGACCCTACGCTAAGCTTGAAAACAACGTTGCCCATTTGTGTTCATTGCTTTTAATAATGATGCTTGCTCTTAACTTCACACAAACTATGAGAGACTATGTATGTTGAACTTCTTTCGCATCGAACGTAGCTAACTGCTAATTGGAGATGCGAGAGTAAAATACCTTTCGATTTAAAGCTTTCTTGGTTTTTTCGGTAAAGTCACGTAGAAGGGAAATAATAAAATAATAAAAATATAACAAAATTTAATTTTCACGACGTTTTGGCCACAATGCAAGCAGCCGTCCTCAGGTGAAGAAATAGAGCTGTCGGAAAGACAGCGTCTTAATGAACACTGCTAAGCTCGGCATATAATCCCTATACACACGTGGCAGATTGTCATCTTCCAATTCGATCTGGTCACTTAGCATGGGATATTTATAATTATTTTGTATTATGTGATACGTGTTATCACAGCCTTTATTCGTAATGGCACATCCCTCTTGCTTTTCCAGATCCAGTGGTAGAAGTTCCACGTTTCTGTGGCCAGGTATTAGAAGTGATCTCAGAACGCGGTTCTCGCCATTGCATCCCACCCATGGTACAATACCCTAAGATGTCCTGGTTTTAAAATGTTTGATACGTGAACGGAGGGTAAGGGTCAGGAGGACCCCATATATGCTCTGCGTTCTCACACCCGAAACTCCCGCGAAGAGGGTAACAGACTGACTTTAACTGTTACCCACACATCTGTGGATGGAAAAGGCCATTTGAGATATATAGGCGAAATGCATGTCGGAATTCCATAACTTTGTCTGACCCAAAAAGTATTTTACAAAACACGCAGGTTACTGAAGAGTGGGTGTTGTCCACTTAATCGCAGCCAAAGTGAGAGATTAATACAGTGATAAGATCTTTATAAAGCTGTAGGCAGGCAGGCATGTTGGCTCACACCTGTAGGCCAACATTTTGGAGGCGCAAGAGTTGGATGATCTCAGATTTTGTGAAATTACAAAATTCACATGGCCATAAGGTGGCAACAGATGGCAGTAGAGTAAATGGTTTTGAGACTTAGTGAGGCTTTCCTGCACAAATGGCATTCAGGTGGCTGCTTTGTTGGTGCTGCTTTGCAGAAGCATTAATGCAGCCAACCGCAGATGTGGGTGGAGCCCCCCACCCACATCTGCCCCGAAAATGGCCATTCTCTTAAACTGGTGTCTTATGCATTTTTCAGCTTGAATGCATTGTTGCTGACAATGGCGTTGGCGTGTTTACAGCCCTGTTTTTGTGTCGTACTTGTTGACAGCGTCAATTACGGAGGTATGTTTCCGCACTTGTCCACGAGAGGATGCACACCACTCATTGTTGTAAGGGCTGGGGATTTTTTTATTCTTTCCATCCTGTATTGTACGCCTCTTCATCAATGGCACGGAAACTCGGACGGAGGGTTGGTTTGGGCATCGGCAACAATCGCCCCACCGAGCGCGGCCTGCGCCGTGGACGGGTCACCGCACCCTGGAGGGACGTGCCGTCCACGGGGTGCCTGGCGCATACGCTAGGGACACAGGGGGTGGGTGTGGTGACATTCGTGTTAATGTCAGGCAGTGAACCGAACTCCAGCCATCTCCGCTCGTATATATGTGTGTATGAACATGCGATATCATTGCATAGCGAGGTTTTCATACCAGGTTGGAGAGGTTGTGGAAGTTTCGTGGCTTTTTGTTAAAAGTCCAATTTCGAGCAGAGGGCCCCATTTACATTACAAGGCTTAAGGTGTAAAGCGTTTATTCGTCAATTCCCGCTGTACGTGTATAAGATGGGGTCACCAGAACTTGTACAGATAATACAATATCCATTTACCACCACCCTTTCTCTTCGCACCTGATTGACTTACAAGTGACCACATCACATGTATCCCTCTATTTAAGACAGAAACAGGAGGATTTCTCCACAACTCTGGCTGCCGCCTGATGAGGCTGGATGTAATTACCGGTGAAACGTCATATCAGAATGGTAAATGTAGTGGGTTTACTCTCCACACTGGTGTGCTGAACTAGTAATGAATTGGCATGTTTTGTTAACATGACAAACCTTACTAATTGGTGGTGGGGGTTTAATGACACATTTACGCGATATAACTTTTATACTATGCACAATATGCAATACATTTTACCGTATAATTTTGTTACGATTCGGGACTTGAAAAAAAACTTTACATGTTTTTCAATCACAGTGCGGCCTTAAAAAGAAAGTGATATAATAGGCAACGTTTCGGGCCAATGACCCTTTTTCACAGCACACAGGGAGGCCAGCGAGGCAGTCTATAAAGGTGGCCAAGACTAATCAAAGGGTTGCCCTAAACGTAAGGTTGGGAAAGGTATTGGAGGTAGCGTCGTCACTGCTCATTGAATACCTCCTGAGGACAATTCGCGTTGGAAAGCACGACAGGGAATGTTACAGTATCCGTGCATATGCGTGGACTTTCTTCGTTGTGTAATAAGACTCTTTGAGACGACTTCTGGATACGTCTTTTATTCACTTTGGGTTACATCTACTTCACGCTGCTGGTAGACAACGTGAAGGGACAGATAGACCGAGAGAGACGCACTGCCACGTGGCAACTCGGAGCCCCGCTCTCGCGTGGCTCCTTCCTCCGTTGGTTTCCGTTCTGACCACGTGTCATTCCTCTCTACCCCTATTTAATCCCCGGGTCACGTGGTACGCTTCAGCCAATCCTCGTTAGCCTGCGTCGAATCTTCCAGGCTCCCTCGTCAGCTCCCGGGACCACACCCCTGACTCATCTCCCCATTGGCTGAGGCCAAAGCCAGCAGAACCAATCTCCATAGCTGTCACCCTTCCATCACGTCAGGGCCATGCCCCCAGGCTTCCCCCCATTGGCTGTAAACCAGGACCGGCAGAGCCAATCACCATGACAAGGTGTGATACGTCAGTGAGCCGGATATTCTCATATACATCACCCCCCCCCCCCCCCCCGGTGTAAAAAGTCAGCCGTCTCGGCTGGGAAAAGGGTGACAAGCCGAATCCAATTTAAATAATTATTAGGGCGTCTGAGACACATTAACAAGGTAAAGGGGAGGAGTAGGCGTCTACGCGCCGAGGAATTCAACCTTATTAACAACAAACATACATTAGGGCACCCCTGTAGCGCAGTAACAACAGGGTAACAGACCGCAAAGCAATCATAACTAACGAAACGGAAGAGATTTCGACCGCGTACGTGACGCAGGACCCTCTTCGTTTTTCGCGCATGGTCGCCTCGCCGTCCGATCTGCAGGAGGTGTTTGCCGTGAAGAAGAAGAAGAAGAATGTTCGGTTTCGGTTGTATCCGGGATAGGTCCCGTTGGACGTCCGGGGTCTCGTCCCTCAAAACCAGTTCATCTGCGGGGGGTACAACACAGCCCCGCTGGGGATCAACGGGCGAGGCAAGTGGCACATTCGGCACGCCAGACCCCGGCAGGTCAACAAGTGGAGATGAGGGGCCAGCGCGCGGGTCAACGTAGGGTTTGAGTCGCGACGAATGGACATACCAACGGCGTTTTCTGTACTGGACGCGAACACTCTGGGGGTTACGAATGTCCACCAGCCTCACAGGCCCCCGCCAAACCCTGTGCAGTTTAGGGGACGTGCCTATTGGCACCTGAGGGCAATGGAGCCATGCCAGATCGCCCACCGACTAGGGCATGTCAGTTCGCGATCGACGCGCATACCTCTTGTTCCTTGCCTGCGTACGGGCCGTCGCACATCTGGCGGCCTCTCGCGCCTCTGTAACCCATTTAAGTGAGTCCCGTACGTGATCAGGTAAGGAAGGGGACGGTTTTTTACCCGCCGTACCCAGTTGCACATCAATCGGGGGTACATTCTCATGGCCATACATCAGGAAAAATGGTGAATATCCTGTGGATGCATGCGAAACCATGCGGTATGCCGCCAGGACGCCCGGTATGCGCAAGTCCCAATCGGTTTGTTTTTCACTTTCCGTGTGACAAAGCATGGCCGAAAGGGTGAGGTTAAACCGTTCCACCATGTCATCCGTTTGCGGATGGTAAGGGGAAGTGCGGATTTTCTTTGTGCCCAACGCAGTGAAAACATCCTTGAGCAATTTTGAGGAGAAGTTACGTCCCTGATCTGTGAGCAGCCCTTCGGGTGCTCCTTTATCCATGACATAACCATTAAAGAATGCCTCGGTGATGGACGTGGCCGTTTGGTCAGGCAGAGGCCAGGCCATAGGCCATCGAGAAAAATATTCGACGTCGACCAAAAGGTATTTGTTGCCCCTAGCCGATGGAGGGAACGGGCCCAGGATGTCCAGAGCAACTAGTTCATTGATACGGGACACCTCAATCAAACGCAATGGTGGAACATAATGTTGCCGAGGCGGTTTCCTCTTCGCACAATCATGGCATGACCGGACAAAGTGACATCTGCCGTCATGCCGGGCCAAAATAAATCCTGCTGCATCACGGCCAACATTTTCTGCACGCCGAGGTGCATCAATTTGTCAGCGTACAGAGCGCGGAGCAGGTCGTGGCGAAGGGATTTCGGCACGACCAGGCGTGAACGGTCATACAATCCATCAGTACACATCAATAGTCCCGCCTGGCCCCGGAACATCTGCCATTTCCATTCTGCAAAATGAGATCTCGGTTTCCCGATCAGTTTCCGCAGCGGAGCCAGAGAGGCATCGGCCTCCTGCTCGCGTAGCCACACCGAGTGCGGCAAATGCAGCGTATTGTCGGCGTCAACGGGTACACCCTGGCCTTCATCGTTCGACATCGCCCCCATAACCGGACAGGGCGAGGTAGGTAGCGCTGCACAGCGGTGCGTACCCGTCAGACAGGCGCAGGGAGGAGTTGAGGGCAACCTGGAGAGAGCGTCCACGTTGCCATGGCGAGTACCCTTGCGGTACGTGATCTCGAAGGAAAATTCCTGTAATGATTCCAACCACCGAGCCAATTGACCCGATGGTTGTTCCAATTTCAACGAATATTGCAAGGCCGCGTGGTCAGTGCGCACGAGGAATTTCCTTCCATACAGGTACGGCTGGTACTGGCGAACAAAATGTACTATTGCTAACAGTTCCCGTCGCGTCACGCATTATCGCGTTTCGGCAGGGGACAGAACCCTGCTGCCGTATGCCACCACTCGCTCGACCCCGTCTTTCCATTGCGACAAAACGGCTCCTATGCCGATATCGCTAGCATCTGTGTCAAGGATGAATGGCTGAGAAAAGTCCCGGTAGTCGAGCGTTGGCGCGGTGGCGAGGTGATCCCGAAGAGATTGAAAAGAGCGCTCCTCTTCCGGGCCCCATTTAAATCTCTGATTTTTCCCCGTCAGAACATGCAGTGGCTTAGCCAGTGTCGCGAAGTTCTTAACAAAACGGCGATAGTAGGATGCGAACCCAATAAACCGCCGTACGTCACCCACCGAAGTGGACGTGGGCCACTCTCGGACACACGCCGTTTTCTGTGGGTCCGTGGACACACCGTCCGAGCTGATGATGTGACCCAAGTATCGGACAGACCGTTGCAAAAGGTGGCACTTTTTCGGTTTAAATTTTAGGTCAGCCGAGCGCATCCTCTGAAAGACAGTCTCGCGTTGGAGGTGTTCCTCGAACGTGTGGCTAAATACGATGATATCGTCCAAATATATTATGCATGTTTCCCACTGCAGCCCCTCTAGCACCAGTTCCATCAACCGTTGGAACGTCGCCGGTGCCGCATTCAAGCCCATAGGTAAGCGGTTAAATTCAAAGAGGCCTTGTGGCGTGCGGAACGCCGTTTTAGGTTTGGACGCGTCATCGAGGGGAAGCTGCCAAAACCTCGACGACAGGTCGAGGGTGGAGAAAAAATTTGCCCCTGACAAAGCGTCCAACGAGTCGTCCATCCGTGGCAAGGGGTATGCGTCTGCCATGGATATCTTATTCAATCTGCGGAAATCTACACAAAACCTCGTTCCACCATCCTTTTTCTTAACCAGCACCACCGGCGCGCCCCAAGGACTGTTGGACGGCGAAATTATTTTGGCCGCCAACATGTCGTCCACCGCGCCGTGCACGTGTTCCCTTTCAGCAGGGCTCATGCGATGCGGGTGCATACAAATCGGTCCCACCGCACCGGTGTCAATATGGTGCGACAAGAGTGAGGTATGGCCGAGATCCAAATCGTTTTTACTGAAAACGTCAGCATACTGTAACAACAATGAATGCAAAGCGTTCCTTTGCGTGGTCAACAAAGATGTATTTTCCCCGCACAAATCCGCGATCCATCGATCCTGTGAACGACCATAACGAGGATCATCAGCGGCTATTTTAGTGGTTGGTTTACCCTCAAAGCTGGTGAAATCGGTAGTGGCGTGAGCCAATACCGATCCAGCCGGAACGACCCGGTTCGGGCCCCCATTCAACACTTGTATGAACGGGGCCTGACCCGGCCGAACGATAGTTTGAGCCGCTACCAGGGAAAAAGATTTAGCCACCGAATTCGACGGGGATAACAGCACACCCGTCGCACCATCCGCAGCATCCAAAGGTTTCCGGTAACGCTGCGGAATAAGCATCTGCGAGCCCGACAGCACCTCTACCGTGGCAGCAACAATGGCGTTAACTGCGTTACCCGGGGGCAAACGGCCCAGCAGGGAAGGCAGGAACGACATCCTATGGCCCCCTGGCATTTCTAAGCAACCTTGATCGACAAGTATCTTAACTGGCATGCGGCGCAAGAAATCAGTGCCTAATAGGCATGGGACGGCCAATGAGCGAGAAATCAACACTGGTCCCTCCGCGGTAATATTACCGATAGCAATGCGCACATCAACTTGCCCGAAAATACCCATGCTACCCCCATTAGCAGCAACACACGCGTCATTAACCGGTCGGATCCATGACGTGGGAATAGACAGGAGATGAAAAATGACATCGGAAATGATGGTGGCAGACGCGCTCGTGTCCACCAAAATACGGACATCGATCTCATCGATGGTACCTCGTACCGTCGATGAGCCTGACGCGGCAGCTACCACTCTACGGGCCAATTTTTTCCATTGCGTATTAGAGTGTGGCATCGACACAGGTGTACAACAATTTCCGTCCGGAGCGCAAATATGCGTGCGAGTGGATGGGTGATGTGACAAGGCCTGCCGGGTGTCCGATTTGTGCCGACTCGCCCGAGGGTGTCGTGGATCCGCGCCCGGTGGAGGAGATGGAAGGTGACTCGACGGAAGCGGAGAAGGCAGAGGTCGGCAGCGGCAATCCCGAGCGAAATGGCCCCGTCGGCCACACTTGAAGCACGTGGCCGTCGTCCGGCGGTCGCTCGTCCCGGCCCCTGCACGTGGTTGACCCGTATCATCACGCTGGTCGCGCAGCCGGCGTCTCGGGACCCAGCGCGGAACAGCAGCCATCACCTCGTCGTCGCCGGAGTCATCAGAGCAGTGGACGACCCGCCGTGGAGACCATCCCAACGGTGGACCGTCTATTTTGGGGTTCCCTGTCCATGCCGCCATCTGATCCCAGCGCTTCAGATTGAACTTAGCGTCCAAGCAGCGCGCCACCCATCGCGACGTGAGCGGTTCGTGGCCGCATACCGGCAGCGAGATGTTCAGTTCCTGGGATAGCTCAAGCATTCGGGAAAGGATGAGAGGATTCAGGAGATCAGCCGTCGAGTCGGGGTAGGCGGCCATGGCCAACGCTAACAGCGCCCCCCGGTAGGCCAAGGGCGATTCCTCTGGTCCTCGACGACGTGACATAAATTTTCTGGTAGCCGCCGTCGGCGGGTCGTAAAACTCCGCCATCTCTGTGAAAGCATCACGTAGCGTATTCTTCTTGGTCGCCGGGATGGATCGGAAGACCGCCAGGGAGACATCATCCAGCAGCATGGGCAGCGCCTCCAGTGCCTCTGCCTCCGTCCATCGAACGGATCTAAAGGCCGACTCGAAGCGCCACGTGAAGGCACTCCAATCGCCCCCGGCGATAAATTCCTTAATTTGAGGAAGATGATGTCCGCGGTGAATGGTCGACGCCTCGAGCGTCTCTATTCCCGTTTCCCGCGTTCCTCGCGTCTCCGTCAAAATGGCGTCCGGTGACCGCATGGCGACAGCCCCGCCCAAGATGGCGTCCGGCAGCTCCATCACGGCCGCCCCGTCCAAGATGGAGGCCTCTCCCCGCGCGGCAGGAGCAATGGCGGACGTCGATACCCGCTGCAAATCTTGGTCCTCGGCAGTCGGCTGAAACCCCGGCGGCCGACCCAGGGCCGTTGAGGATGCGACCGCCGTCACCAGACTCAGCAAAATCGTGCGGAGTGACTCGATCTGCTCTGCCATTAGCCGCCATCCTTTGTCCGCATTTGAGGCCGTCGCTTCTGCAGCCTGTCGGCGATGAGCGGCGCCGAGGAGAGCAGCAGCCGGAGGCAGAGGATCCGTAGCTCCCAGCAGTTCGTCCTCGTCCATCTCAGCTTCTTCCTCCGATGGAGGGTCCGGTGGGTTCTTCTTTCTGAGGTGCTTGGACATCTTGAAGATCGTCCAAACGGTCCCAGAAGAAACTTCTGACACCAATGTAATAAGAATCTTTGAGACGACTTCTGGAATCCGTCTTTTATTCACTTTGGGTTACATCTACTTCATGCTGCTGGTAGACAATGTGAAGGGACAGATAGACCGAGAGAGACGCACTGCCACGTGGCAACTCGGAGCCCCGCCCTCGCGTGGCTCCTTCCTCCGTTGGTTCCCGTTCTGACCACGTGTCATTCCTCTCTACCCCTATTTAATCCCCGGGTCACGTGGTATGCTTCAGCCAATCCTCGTTAGCCTGCGTCGAATCTTCCAAGCTCCCTCATCAGCTCCCGGGACCACGCCCCTGACTCATCTCCCCATTGGCTGAGGTCAAAGCCAGCAGAACCAATCTCCATAGCTGTCACCCTTCCATCACGTCAGGGCCATGCCCCCAGGCTTCCCCCAATTGGCTGTAACCCAGGACCGGCAGAGCCAATCACCATGACAAGGTGTGATACGTCAGTGAGCTGGATATTCTCATATTATAGTTGTTTGAGGTGATGCTTGGTATTGGATAGCGTTGTTGTGGATTGTGGAATGTTCTCCTGGTACCCCATGTCTTCCTGTCTGCGTGCGTCTTTGTGTCAGAGTTGCATTACCGTATGGCCCACGCATCTGTGCCTCCCTATATCTGTCAGTGTATGTAAGAGATGTGCCAGAGATGGATTCACGATGTGGCTGTATAAACGTCCTAGAATTGACGATGATATTATACTCAGTATTGGTGATGATGATGCTGCTCATGTTTTTCATGACAGTGATGCTTGTAGGAGTGATACTCAGGATATGGATAGTGATGGTGAGAATGAGGATGATGGTCTATCACGACAGAAGTCAGGGCCTCTCCATCTCAGGCAACCTCATTAGTGACAGTGTTGACGGTGGTGGTGGTGGTATTGAAATTGTACCTCTGACAATGAATCGTTGAGCAGAGACCGTATATCGAACTTCTTTCGCACCGTCCATAGCAAACCGTGCTAATCGCTGGATAACTGCAGCACACACCTCTCATTCATGTTTAAAAGGAGCACATGCAAATTTTCATCAATATTAATCACTCAATATAGTCTGCTGTTGCTGATTAAGTTTCCAAATTGTTTGGCTTTGTTATGTTTGTAGTTCATAACCGTTTCTCCAGTGATGCGACTCCCCCTTTGTAATTCGTGCTAACGCGCTCATGATGTAATAATGACATGACGGAAGAAACCGCACATACTCTGACATATCACGGCGTTCAGAGAGGGAGTTGTGTTCGCGCGCTGTTGGAGGAATTTAAACGCGTTTCCGACTTCATTTTCGGCGGCGCAACTGGCCGCTCGCATCTTTTTGCACTTTTCATCATCCCATTGCTATTTTTAGGTTCCATTTCGCAAACGTCAAAATACAATGGCCTTACGTGCGAACACGCCACGTAAGAATGGAGTTGTGAAAATGGGATTTAGGAGCGGGTGGTGTGGTGAGCTTTATTGCTGTCATGTATAATTCAAACGTACACGCAGGACCGCATGACCCCCCCCCCCTCCTGTCAGCCTTCCCCCCCATCATAGCACACGGGCGCATACTGCCCCCATCCCTGCTCTCGCGGCGAAAATAAGCTGTAACCACGGTCAGGTTCGTGCTCATTTCCAAGTCTAACTTTAATCCTGCCGTGTGTTGAGGTTATGAAGGTGGTGTAGGAGCAGCGGCCAGCCACCTATAAACAAATATGAATGCGTCCACGAACAAGGTTAGATAACAGTAATAATAATTTGCTTACTTATCCAGGAAAGCTACGATGAGTAGTAGGACTTATTTACAGGATGGTCCTGCGTTGGGTTTTTTATTTTATGATGTTTTCAGCCAATTTTGTGACGAGGTGTTTTTATGTTCGTTTACAGCATGTATGTATATTGAACTTCTTTCGCACCATACGTAGCCAATTGTGCTAATCTGCGGTGCGGACGGAGCATATGTGTAGTGACAGAATCGGTCACTTGGCAGCATAGCGCTTGTTGCTGGCAGGGAAGGGGATCTGCAGTTACAGCAACCCTGATTGACAGCCGGTCGCATGATAGACCAGAGAGAGCGATGTCGGAGAAAGGGTACGGAAGGGGCAGATCAAGAACCTGCTAGTGGGTTTCAAAAGGGGGGCGTGGCCAGGGCGGAGCCAGGCCACGCTGACAGTACAGTATAAGAGGGGCCCCGGGAGGTGACCTTGGGGCTGTCATTTGGAGTGGGATCCCGTCGTGCTGCTGGAGTTTTCATCGCCATCACCGTCTTCACCATCTCGACGTTGCCAGTCAGGCAGTCTGCCAGCTGTCCTGTCTGGGGACCGTAGTTGCTAAAGTGTGAACTGTTAAGTCTGTTAATAAACAGAGTGCCTCCTACTCTTAGTGTCTCCGAGTCAGTCACTACATATGTATAGCAAAGTAAATATCACATTTTTCAATGCTTTACCAAGCTAATCCATGCACTTTACGGGCCGGGAATGTGTTTCCCATTCATTACCCCGAATGTGTAATCAGGAAGGGGCACTGGGGAACCGATTCCTCCGCATCCTCTCACACTGTCCTATCTGGTTCCACCCGTTTCACACAATTAATTGGGCCAAACACTGATACAGGACAGTACAAGGATTTTAGCAGTAAATGCTTTCACGTAATTTCCGACGAGCCAATAAAATGTTGTGAAAGTGTCAAATTCTGCACAGATCGGGAAAGTAACGTCAGCCTATCCTAAATTTATTTATTCTATTATTTTAACAGGTAAGGCCCACTTAGCTATGTAGCTCTTTTTCAGAAGCGACCTGGTCACATGTCCCAACGAAAGTGGCTTATGTGTAAATTTATAGCAGTAGCCAAATACTCTAAACGCATGTTGATTCTAAATGTGGAGGGTAAGAACCGGAGGACCCGAAGAAAAATTCACGCGACCACGGGGAGAGAGACATACAAACTCCAAATATAGCAGGCGTCAGGGTCGGAATCGAACCCACGAACCCACGACGTCCTGTATACCAGGGGAGGTAGTGAACATCTCGCCACCGTGGCGTCAGCCAAGTTCTGAAGCACCAATAATGGCATTTGGGTCCTCGTTGTCCGAACGCGTCTCGCTTCTCCTTGGATGACCCTGCCCACCAGGGTGCTCTGCCAGGACACCCGCTGGGCGGAGGAGGGAGGAGGATGTGGCCAGTGGCATGGCCACAAGCAGCAGCTGCTGCCGACAACGAGCAATGAGAAGTCCGGCTGTGGGGTGGTGCCGAGGAGGGACCCCTGTGGGGTTGTCACGAGGGAGTGGATGCTGCTATGCGCTGTCTAGCAGTGACATCGTTGCCATAGGCCCCAGTGCAAGGAATGAAACGGGAGCCACTTCGTAGTTGGCGGCAGGGTCCCTCTGGCTCTCTGCGTGCTCACCACAGCCCTCGAGGGTTGCACGACACTCGTCCTGCCTGCCAGCGGTGACACTCGTGCTGCCCTACAGCGGTGACACTCGTGCTGCCCGCCAGCGGTGACACTCGTGCTGCCCTACAGCGGTGACACTCGTGCTGCCCTACAGCGGTAACGCTCGTGCTGCCCTACAGCAGTAACGCTCGTGCTGCCCTACAGCGGTGACGCTCGTGCTGCCCTACAGCGGTAACGCTCGTGCTGCCCTACAGCGGTGACACTCGTGCTGCCCTACAGCGGTAGCGCTCGTGCTGCCCTACAGCGGTAACGCTCGTGCTGCCCTACAGCGGTGACACTCGTGCTGCCCTACAGCGGTAGCGCTCGTGCTGCCCTACAGCGGTGACACTCGTGCTGCCCTACAGCGGTGACACTCGTGCTGCCCTACAGCGGTGACACTCGTGCTGCCCTACAGCGGTGACACTCGTGCTGCCCTACAGCGGTGACACTCGTGCTGCCCTACTACTCCTCATGGCGGCGCACACAGTTGCAGCAGCTCAGTGTCTACCCGGTCGGTGCCTTGTATGGTTGTTTATGTTCGCGTTATGTCTTGTTTTGTGTTCATTTTGTCGGGCGAGTAACACCTTTAGCCGGCACGATCTCCTTAAGATCGGACTATGTTACGATCGGAGTGTTACAAGCGAGTTTCTCCGCCTTCACAAGATTCCAGTGGAGTTAGCGAGGAGGCCCGGCTCTCCGTGGATTATCATCCCGGTGGGGAGGAGGCGAAGGCGGCGTGGAGAGAGAAGACGGAGGCGAGGCTGCAGGGCCGGTGCGCTAGCCAGGCTACGGAGGCAGCCACTCAAACCACCGCTACCCAGCCTATTTCTCACGAACGCCAGATCCATCGCGAACAAAATGGATGAATTGAGGCTACAGACTACAGCGAGCAACGTAGTGAAGGACAGCTGCATTCTGCTTTTCACAGAAACCTAGCTTCATTCATCCATCCTCTGCTATTGAGCTTGCAGGCTACACAGCACAGCGCCAGGACAGAACAGTAGACTCCGGTAAGAGCAGAGGAGGGGGGCTCTGTGTGTACGTGAATAAGAGCTGGTGTACTAACACTGTGACTGTAGACAGCCACTGCTCCCCAGATCTGGAGTATGTGACTGTTAAATGTAGGCCGATTTACCTCCCAAGAGAGTTTACTGTGGTCATGATAACTGCTGTTTACATCCCACCGGATGCTAATGCTAACTCAGCTATTGGACTTTTACATGGCAGCATTAGCATTCAGCAGAGCAAGTATCCTGACGCTGTGCTGATTATAGCAGGGGATTTCAACCATGCAGACTTAAAAGCAGCACTCCCTAAATTCCACCAGCATGTTAAGTGTGCTACTAGGGTAACTAAGATTCTGGACAAGGTCTACACCAACATCAAACTAGGCTACAGGGCTAGACCACTACCACACCTGGGCCAGTCTGACCATTTGTCCCTGCTTTTGATCCCTGCATACGCCCCCATCAAGAAAACGGCTCCTACCATCACAAAAACTGTCGCCATCTGGCCTGAGGGTGCCACCCAGCAGCTGCAGGACTGCTTTGATAGGACCGACTGGGGGGTCTTCGAACATCAGGACCTGGAGGTGTTCACATATAGTGTATTGTGCTACATTAAAAACTGCATAGACACTGTCACTGTGGACAAACGCATTCGGGTTTACCCCAACCAGAAGCCCTGGATGACCCGGGAGGTCCAGCAACTGCTGAAGGAGAGGAATATCGCCTTCAACTCCGGAGTCAAAGCTCTCTACAGTACAGCCCGAGCTAACCTGAAGAGAGGCATCCGCAAGGCCAAAGCAGACTACAGGAGGAGGATTGAGGAACGCCTGGACAGTCACGACAGCAGGCAGGTGTGGCAGCGAGTCCAGCACCTCACCAACTACAGGGCCAACCGCGGAGCTGCTGATGGTGACAACGCTCTGGCAGAGGAGTTGAACCTCTTCTTTGCCCGCTTTGAGGTGACACCACAAGGGACAGCATCACCAAACCTCACGGTCCACAGCAGCTTAAACCTCACAGTAGAGGAGCATGAGGTGAGGCGCACGCTGCGGGCCGTCAACCCGAGGAAGGCTGCGGGACCTGATGGCGTCCCGGGACGTGTGCTGAGGGACTGTGCTGACGAGCTGGCTGGAGTCTTCACAAGGATTTTCAACCTGTCTCTGGAACAGTCCACTGTACCAACCTGCCTAAAGTCCTCCACCATAGTCCCGCTGCCCAAAAAAACCCATATTTCCAGCTACAACGACTACCGGCCAGTAGCACTCACGCCAGTGGTGATGAAGTGCTTTGAAAAACTGGTCCGGAGTCACATCATAGGAAGCTTGCTCCGAAACCTTGACCCCCACCAGTTTGCCTACAGAGCGAACCGATCCACGGAGGACGCCGTGGCCACAGCACTACATGCTGCACTGTCACACCTGGAGCAGCAGGGGAAATATGTGCGGATGCTTTTCGTGGATTACAGTTCCACGTTCAACACCATCCTCCCACACAAACTGATGGAAAAACTGGCCGACCTGGGGATTCCACATTCCACCTGCATGTGGATATATAGTTTCCTCTCGGGCCGCAGACAGAGTGGGCCGTCATACATCCACAGCCCTGAGCCTCAGTACCGGCTCCCCCCAGGGCTGTGTACTGAGCCCCCTGCTCTACTCCCTCTACACACATGACTGTGCCGCCGTCCACCATAGCAACACCATTGTGAAGTTTGCTGATGACACCACAGTGGTGGGGCTCATCTCTGGGGGGGATGAGTCTGCCTACAGGGACGAGGTGGTGCGGCTGACAGCATACTGCAGGGGCAACAACCTGCTCCTTAACACCGCAAAGACCAAGGAGCTCATAATAGACTACAGGAGAAAGAAAACGAACACTCCACCACTAATCATCAGCGGGGACTGTGTGGAGAGGGTGGCAGACTTCTGCTTCCTGGGAGTCCACATTGGGGAGGGCCTGACCTGGAGCGCCAACAGCACTGAGCTTCTGAAAAAGGCCCAGCAGAGACTTTACTTCCTGAGAATTCTCAGGAATAATAACATCACACAGAAACTGCTGGTGTCCTTCTACCGAGCTTCCATCGAGAACATTCTTACATACTGCATCTGTGTATGGTACACCAGCTGTACAGTGGCTCAGAAGAAAGCGTTCCAGAGGGTCATCAACACAGCCCAAAAGATCGCCGGCTGCCATCTCCCCACACTGGAAGAACTACACAGTTCACGTTGCATCAAAAAAGCACAGAGCATTATAAAGGACTCTTCTCACCCTGGACACTCACTGTTTGAGCTGTTGCCATCAGGCAGACGATTCAGATCAGTCAAAACAAGGAAAAACAGATTCAAACAGAGCTTTTATCCTACAGCGATCACCACACTCAATAATGCTAATTAATTATTAAGTAATAGTGTTTACAATTGATTGTGAAATAGAGATGTGCAATGACAAAATGTAACCTTGTGTGGGTATGTGGATATACTTGGGCTGTTTTTATATATAGTATAAATTGATTATCTTTCATTTAATTTTATTTTTATTTTCTTGTTTTATTTAATTTAAATTTATGAATGATGCCCTGACTGGTGAGCATTTTAAATTTCGTTGTACTGGTGACAATGACAATAAACGATCTATCTATCTATCTACAGCGGTGACACTCGCCCTTCCACTACAGTGGTGACACTCGTCCTGCCATACAGCAGTGACACTCGCTGAGGTTCCTTGCCTATGCAGGATGCTCATTAGGTGGCTTCGTAAATACCATGTGTTCCTAGCATTTAGAATTTGGCGTGTTTATTTAATCAACAATACGGTTTGTAAATTACATTGTCCCTGGAAGGAAAATCGTG